TCCCAACAAAGAAAGAATCCGAAAGGCTCCTCCGGGGCGTGCAGCGAGCTGCTTGCTCCAGGAAGCATATATCTGGAATGCCGTTTTTCCAGTTTGTTCCTGGGATAGTATTACAGGTAGGCCACACCCCTGGGGAAACTCCCCCTAGACTGACCGACCGCTTAGGACGCAGTCATGTGATCTATCATGGGAACCACCACTCACAAGTGAAGTCCAGCCAAGTTGACACATCTTCAACTATCACACTAGAAAAAATAGTTTAGTAGACAAACATTTCCCTCAACTTCCACTGGAACAATAGTTGTCATACCATCCTGTGGATTAAGAATACTACCGATATGCAAAAAGCAACAAGATTTGTAAATAGCCATTCCCACCCCCCTTTTTTATATTATTATTAATATACCTAATTTTTAGGAACTTTAGTGCCTAAGGCATCTGATTGCTAACCAGAAGGCTGGCGGTTCAAACCCACGAGCCACTCCTCGGAAGGAAGATGGGGCAATCTTCTTCCATAGTGATACTGCCTCGGAAACCCAAGGAGGGGTCACTGTGAGTCAGGTCTGACTCAACAGCACATAACAACAACAACAACAACAAGATGTACTTAGGAAATATTTTTCGTTGTTTCCAGAAAGGTAGTTAGAATTAAAAGGTAAAGGACACTATAATCCTAGAATAAATTTTAGTATTAAAAATTATTTACAGACCAGAAAGTCACCTAGTAGCACTTGAAAGCAGGGACCCAAAGAGACATTTAAACACCAGTGTTTATTGCAGTACTCTTAACAGACAAGAGGTAGAAAGAGCAACCTAAGTGTCTATCAACAGATGACCGGATAAACAGAATATGTTTTGTAGAGTACATAAAATCAAATATTATTTGACCATAAAGAGGATGAAATTCTAATACTTGGTGTGCCATGAATAACATTACGCTGAGTAAGTCAAACACAAAAGGACAAATATTGTATGATGCCACTTGTATGAAATACCCAGAATAGGCAAATACATAGAGAAAGAAAGTCTTTATTATTGGTTACTAGGGGCTGCAGGAGCTCTGGTAGTGTAGTGCCTAAGGCATTTAACTGCTAACCAGAAGGCTGGCGGTTCAAACCCACCCAGACACTCCTCAGAAGGAGGTTGGGCAATCTACTTCCGTAGTGATACTGCCTC